ATAAATGCAAGTATTTTAATAAGTTATTATTTTTAATCAATTAAGTATACAAATTTCATTAACAATAAACAAGGACAATTTATTGACTAGCTAGATTTTTGTATTGATCAATTGATGTCTTTTTCAAAGCTACAATTACACTTTATTTATAATAAATATTTTTTATTAATGAATATTATATTTATGATTAATTATATAAGTTGATAAATAATAGATACTATATAAATAATGATAATTGTTATAAATGATGATAATTGTTGTAAATGATGGTAATTGTTGTAAAAGTTTTAATTATTACAATTATAAAAGTTATAAGAATTATGAAAATTATGGAAGTTATGAAAATTATATAAATTTCCAGTCGTAACAACGATAATGTGCATAGTATCCAATAATCAGTAACATATGATGAAAAAAATTGATGCATACACATGTATGACAATACGCATTTGTATTCTATTAGAATAATTCCGCAAAATATATTAATAAAATATAACTATAACAAGTAATGACATAAAATAACCCTGACCTAGTTGTGTAAGGAGTGCATAGACTCTATGTTTTGATCATTATTTTTGTTGTGAGAAGTTTCAATAGCAATAATACATGAATTTTTGATCTGCAAATAATACAAACCAATAAATAATCAGCTCCTGGCAAAACAAATCTGATACAAGAAATGAAAAAACAAAAAATATAAAAAATACGGAAAACAGATATTGAAATCTAGCTTGATACACTAATAAAAAATATTAGGAAAGCAATTTTGTATATAATCTTGATCTCAACTCTAATCCTAACCCTAATCTTAACCTTTAAATTAATCTTTAACAATTTTTCCAGACATACAATATATTATATATATTATATGTAAAAATCACATGAAAAATTCCCACAATGTTTTCTTTAATTACACAGGATCATTATAGTAATATATTTTGATGCATATATGTGTGTATAATTTATTGCATTATTCTAATACTCAATAGTATAGAATACAAATACAGATTAGTATTGTCATGTTGTACGCATTGATTTTTTTTCACGTTACTTCTTTAAGAACTTGTACTGTATGTTTTATCACAACATCACAAAAATCAACAAATACATAAGCGCAATGATTTTTAGACGTCTCTGAAAATCATTCTTTGTGCTTTTTGCTTTATATGATATTGCAGGCTAAAGATTTATTGATTAACTCTTGTTAATATGATGCCCGTTATTTGACATCTGCATTAGTCTGACTAAACTAATCCATCCAAACAATAACAGTTTTTTTTGTTCTCATTATGGTGAGTGACGTTCAACATCAACATCCTGACAACCACAATTCTGACAATATATAACTGAATTAATGAAATAGTATACCGAAAGCACAAAATTCTAAATGCACAACATACTGAATGAATGAAATCCTGAATGCATGAAATTATAAAGATACAAATTTGATCGATAATAATATAAAAATAAATAACTATTATTATGATGGATGAACGTGAGAAAAGCAAACTCTTATCACTATCGCTATATATACACCTTTAAGCTAGCTTTATATTATTACATTCATTTATCCTATCTTATAAGGTTTATTAATGTGATAAAATTTTAAAATATAAAGACTTATTAGTAAAAATGGATGAAATTTGCAAAGTTGTGCCTTCTCAAAGAGAAAATGCTAAACTCAATGTTCGTGATTATTTAATGGTTAAAGACTGAAACTGGGAGAATACATTTTATTGGTGTTGTAAAAAAAGGAAATTGAAAAATTGCAAAGGTCGAGTAGTCACCATTTTTCTTGATGATTTACACCATCTCCAAAAATTTGTTGATCATAATCATTCATCTCAAGCTAGCAGTGCTGGTATTGCCAAAACAATCACTTATATCAAGAAACAAGTACAAGAAACAAATAATCAACCAACACAAATTATTCAAAATAATATTATCAATGTTCCAGAAGAAATTCATCCTTATATATCATTATATAATGCTCTTTGTATGAAAATTAAGCGTACTAGAAGCACAAAAATGCCATCACAACCGAAAACTCTTGATGAAATCAATATTCCAGATTCACTTTTTCTTGTGAGAGATTCTATAATTGATCAAGAACGAATCATCCTTTTTATAACATTCTGTAAAAAAAAATAAAAGACAAAAATCAGAAAAAAATCCGGTTTTTTAGTTCCGGAAAATCACGGGTTTTGTTAACAAATT